ACTGTGACGCTTCCAGCCAAACGAGGTCTGAGTTTCTGGTGATGCGGCTTTGGCGGATATGTGTGGGGGCTTTTTTTTCTCCCTTTAAATTGTATCATTACTGTGAGGAGAACAAGCAGTTTCTAAGCAGAGACATGGAGTAAGCAATAAAATACTGGTTATAGTCATGTACTGTGTAATGCAGAGGGGATCACTTAACTACCAAAGCCCGCACCACTCCCACCATTACAGATCATATTTATAGCAGTAATACTGCTACTTATGGTGCCTTTCATCAGAATATCTTAGTTCGCCCACACCATTCACACTCTCCACAAGCTATAAGATCAATTATCACCCCTTGGTGTTTTCTCCTGCCATGCCAAGAGATACCCTGAGGCACAAAGGCAGGCAACCTATACCAAGCTGCAGAGCAAGACACTAGTGGAGCTATGAGGCATGTAAAATAAATCCAATTCCTGGCCCACACTGCCAAAACCAATCTTAATTTCTAGCTGTAAAAAGAACAAATGGGAAGAGTTCAGCAATGACATTGTACTTAGTAAGGCATACCACAAGTGACTGCAAGGCTCATATCAGAAACAAAGCATTAGCAATCTCTGACCCTAGTGGTTGAACATTAAGGGATAGTTGTTCACTGCATTCTTAATCTGCTGAACAGCGCTGCAATGCTCCACTTAGGGGGTGCTCAATGTCTTTTTCAAGGCTAATTTCTCCAATACTTGGAGGCTCAGCAAAAGAAATAAGGGTGTCATATGAGACTTTCATAGCCACAAAGATTCTAAAACCAGCCACAGCCAGTTCACAAGGGTCCTCAGAAATACCAAAGTGGCTATAGCCTGGATACAGGCTAGGTCTTTACAGGGCAACCGTAGTATCCTACAGATACTACAGGTGACTCTCAAAGCCAGAATACAGTATCACTTTGATGGTGCTACTAAATATGCGATGTGACATAATTCCCTCTCAGATGCTGCTGTGAACACAGCTGCTGGCTGCGTTTACTGGTCCTGCTACTGCTGTTCCCTGAGGCCTCATGTTGGATCACTGCCCCTTCTTCCCTCCCATCTGCCCCAGAAATGGTGGGGCAAAAAGTGTCCACTGTGCTATTCGTTATGCTCATGTCCAGAAGCAAGGCAAATTTCACTTTCCCAGTGAAAGGTCTTGTAAATGTGGTACAGCTAACAACCTTCAACCTACCCTGCTTGTGATTAAGGCCCTTAGTGATACCTAGCAATTTCCAAAGGCAACAACCATCGGCAGCACCCAGGCAAAATAAAATGGCAAAACACTAGTAGCTCTAGAAATAAGAAACAATGAATTCCTATTCCAGTCTCTCTCTACTCTGGACATTTTCATCAGGAAGCCAGTTCACCTGTTACATTCTCCAATCATGCCACCATCTGTTTCTAGTGATGACACAGGCAAAGTGTTCGAACCTGAACAGCTCCCTGGTTTCCTGGTCATCATGTGAAAGTCATGCCACCAAAATCAAAGTAGTTAGTGCTTAGAATGTCACTGTCATGTTGTCAAGTAGCACTACCCTAGAAAAGGCTATATTTATATTCTACAGGCCTGGATGAGACCAAGAGAAGCAGAAATTTTTGATGTTTCACAATCCCAGTAGAAAACAGCAAAGGTGAGTCCAGGATTTCAGTTAGAGATCATTGTCAGGAGATAAACAGAGCCAGAAAAGGAGACTAGCAATACATTAAAGCAGGATTTCTGCAATGTGATCATAAAGACCTAGCCACAGTCCCTTTCTTTGGACCATGCCCCAGGCATAGCCGTCACCTTTATGTAGCCTTAAAATGTAGTCTCGTTTAAATAAGTAGGGACCATACCCTCTAATTATTTTGTAACTGCACCAAGTTCTTCATGTAGCTAAGGCACAGCGTTGAGGGAATGCCTTTTTTAAAACCTGTTTCCACTTCACTAAGAATGTTAGTCAGGCCCACAAAAACCTCAAGATCCACAGGATCCACCAAGAATGTCAGGGAAGCCAAAGCATACACTCCAGGCCCTATAAGCCGAAATAGCAACAATCAGCAAAATGACACAAGGAAAGTAGACTGGGAAGCTGGCACGGAAGGCTAGGTAGAAAAATCCCAGCTGATCAGTATGAAGGGAACATGCTCCCTCGCTAACCTAGAGCGACAAGGCAAGTTCCCCCACGCATTTCACTCTGTATGAAATAATGCCACCTAAGCAAACTATGTAGATCAGACCTCGCTCAAGGCAGGTTCCAACAATGCCCATGCACCACAGACACATGTTCTCATCTAGTTTGCCTTCTCAGAAGGAAGCCTTGGGGAAAACCCCCTGACCAGCTCCTCAAAAGACTACAAGGCCCCTAAGTCATCGACATTGAAGAAAGACCTATCAACAGTTACAGGGCACTTTTGGAAGATTTTTTCCCCCCAGTATTTGCAGAACTTGGTACCATACAGTTAAAACTACTGGGAGACAGCAGTGGTGCTAAGGAGCTGCTATCACCAACAATGAAAATCCTCTGAACATAATCCATTGTGATCTCAGTTACTGTCAACTACTTCCCCAGAACCAAAAGACAGACAAGATGGTGATAGCAGATATTTGTAACCAAACCCCAAACACCACAAAACATTGGGGGTTAGGGTTGGACACAAAAGATAATGCAGAAGTATTTTTAAGCCTTAAAAAAAATTGAAGACCCCACCATCTTTCTCTTGATCCTATGGGCATAGTCACTCCCAAACTACTCAATTTCAAGGGTGAAGTAACAATCTTAACCTTCACCAACATGGGTCAGGAATCCAAGTCTTCAACCTAACCTAATTCTTTCCTGCTGCATTTTCCCCTGCTAGGACACCACCAGAGAACTCCTCTGTCAAGAATGCCCACAAAAGGCCACCAACGGGACTGCAGGGATTTGAAACGCTACGTGTGGCCAGGAGAACTTCTAGACTTCTATACCACAATACTGCATCTAAGGAAAATGAAATCCTACTGAACCAAAATATCACTAGCTTGAACTTCACCTACTCATTAAGTTTCCTAACTAGCAAAGAGGTTTGAAATCAGCTAGGTCTTTCCCAAACCGGGTGGAGTCCAACCAGTCAACTCAGCTTCCTAATTCATAATTCTAATACTCAAGTACTAAAAGATTAAATAATGCAGTGTGAAGAGTTTATCTACCCTTGCTGGGGACCAGTTTCATGTACCCTATATAGAAGTTGTAATGAGAAATTAATAGAGCAAATGACATGAGCAGTGAGTAGCAAGGAATGATACCAAAAAATACCAAATGAGTTTTCCAGTCAGCCAGTCACAGAATAAGCATTTATTAAGCACTTACTATGTGCCAGGCACTACGTTAGTGAAGAAGACATACTGTACTAAATGTTGAGGAGGCAATAAAAAGTAAAAACATCAACCAACTGGATTATAAAGTACATGAAGGGGAGTAAAATGTAAGAAGACCGGAAAGGCACACACAAAGGAGCCAGGCTATGAAGGACTTTAAGCCAAAGAGAGGATTTTATATTGGATACTGGAGGTAGCAGGGAACCATGGAGCCAGCTGACATGGCCAGACTTGTACATTTTACAGCTTAGTGGAGAACAGACTGGACTGGAGAGAGTCATGAACCACATGATTATTACAAGAGTCCAAGCATGACGTAATAAGGGTAGAGAAGGAGATAAATACAAGAGCTATTGTGAGGACAGAAAATACAAGAACTGGCAACATAATGGTTATGTAGTGTGTGTGTGTGCAAGTGAGGATTCAAGAATGACATCAAGTGACTGAGAGTCCAGGTGACTGAGAATGGTGGTGCCCTATAGGTGAATAAGAAAGTTGGGGAGTGTTTCCAGACATAGTTAATTCCCGTCTCACTTCCCTTCTCAATTCATAAAGGAGGACACTGTTCACTCCAGCCTGCAGTAAGATTTGCAAGATGCAAAAGAATGCAATTCAGTACTAGTAAAATTTTGTGAAGCATGGGCATAATTATCTTAACAACTATAAAGAAACAAGTTACAGAATAAGGTAAGGGGGCTACTTAAAAGATTGCTTCTTTAGCTATGGTGATAATGAAGATAAATTCCCACAGATTTTTCAGTGAGGCTGCTACTTAAAATTCTAGCTAGAGGAAGACAATATTTCACAGGCTGACAGTGCCACCTAGTGGCACTATTACAACCTCAAAATGAGCAAAAAGGGGCCAATAAGGATGGCCACGCTGATGAAGACCACATCCATTTAATTATAGAGTCAGAACCCTCTCTGGTCCATTCAAAACAAAGGTTCTTGTTTCCATTAAGGAAGAAAAAGAATCAAAAGTCAGATTCTTGGCATGAAAGCCAGCAGTCAACCAGCTTGGAAGATCCACCAGTTTCACCCTCGCCACTAACCTCAAAGCATCAAATGTTTCAACTAAAGGTAAATGTGGATGCAAGCCCTCAGAGTGACCACAAGGAATTCTTTCCAGAAGGTCAGGCTTTCACAAAAAGGAATGAGTGTATGTTTCTCTGCAGTTTGGAGCGCTAAGGAATCCCTTTCACACTTCTAGCCCAGGACACGCTGCCAATGAAAAAATGATGAAGAGCAAACTAAAAACTATGTAACTAATAGGACGATAAAGACAGTAGGAAAGCAGCCTGAGGCCAGTGTAAATAAGTGAGCAGAGGGACCCTGAGCACATAAAAGGATCCCCCTGAAAGAGAAGGGGCTACAAGCCGATACTGCTCATAATATATTCCACTGCACTGATTTCTCACATAGAGAACAGGCACCAATTTGTGAGGAAAAATACAATTTAAAACTATTTCAAGAAATACAATTTTAAAGAAAAACAATTAACCCAGGGCCTTAGTAGGGAGACTGAAAAGCTTTCAGTGTCCTTGCATGTTATGTTTATATATACCCAAATACCTATTCAGAAACAAACAAGAACTCGAGCTGTTGTTACTGGACAAATCTGCGTCCTCACTGGCCTGGCATTGCAGATGACTCACCTTTGCAACAAACTGCTTGTCCTTTTGGTCTAAATTAGCTGTGGGGGCCACGTAGTCTCTCCATATTCTCAGCTTTCGTTCCTTGGCAAACCTGGCAACAGGAATCAATCAATCAGTCAACAAGCATTTAGTAAGCGTTTTACTCTGTGCCAGGCGCTATGGTAAGCACTGAGATACAAAAACAAAACGAGAAATGGAGAAAAGACTATCCAGACAAAACACTTGGTGGATATGCTCAACCAGAGCCATAGCACCCATTCAAGCCCTCATTCGCTGCAATACTGAATCATAAGATGTTGGCCAGGCTACTGGAGGAAAGGTCACCAAGGGAGCCAAAGCCCCCAAAAGAGCAGAATCCCCATAGCCAAGGAGTCATTACTTAGTTATGTTGCTGACGCATATAAAGGTGTCAGCTTCTCAATTCTAGTACGGATGGGGACCAAGCACAGATTTCCAATTAGGTTGCTCTGTAGAGGAGCGCAACTTCCTAAGCTTGGAAGAAGGTTCTTTAGCACCAGGGTCCCATACTGACAGTCAGCTATTTGATATATCCAGAAGCTCTTCTCAACTCCCATTGGAACTGTGAAAGATTTTTAGTGACTCATATCTTCACTCATGACCCTCCAGTACCTCTGTGGTTCAATGATAGGAACAAGACTGTCAATGTGAGAAAAAGCAGCAGTATTACAAAGGGTCAGGTGCCCAGTAAATTTACACAAGCAACCAAATACTGCATGCAATTGTATACAAAAAACACTTACTGACCTGATTTATAGACAACATGACACCTGAAGATCAGGGAAGAAAATGACCAAACTATTATGACACCAATATGATCATCTGGAACACCACTGTCAATAACCAAAAACGCATACCAAGAGGAGGTTTTAAAATTTCTAATACCATCATGTCATCTGTCCAGCAATTTTTTTTTTTGAGCAAGCCTCTTTCAAAGTCAGAACATAACTGGGTAACAATAGAACCTATGCAGAGAAAAATCAATGGAGCTTGTTGTTTTGGAGTAATTACAAATGAACAGGCAAATTTGGCTGGGTGGCCATTTATCAGAGATATGAGAAGGGATTCTTGTATCAGGTAAAAGGTCCAACTCGATGACGTCTATCACCTCTTTATTCTATCGTTCTATGAAACATATATGAAGAAGGAATAAAACTTTCTGACAACACAATAACCATTTTTTGACAGAAGCAGTGAAATATGTGAGAAGAGACACAATGCAGAGTCTATGAGCTCTAAAATATGTGAAATCCTAAAAAAGAGATGAGAAGCAGTAAACTATGAGCTTTGCTGACTCCAAAACCCCCATGGCACAGCAGTCATTATTCTAGGCAAGTGCATTTTCCTAACTGGGTCTCCCTGCTTCTTGTTTCTCCCTTTCTCCAAAAGGGCCAAAACATCTTCCAAAGGAAAAGGTCTGACCATGTCACTCATATGCTCAAGACACTTTAGTAACTATTGTCTCTGAGATAAAACCACAAACTCCTCAGTCTGGCCACAATATGGCTCCAAACTTATTTGCTTTTCCACTCATCTTCCCACTTCACTCATTCCATGTTCCAGCCAAACTAGCCTTCCAACTGTTTGATCTCTTTTGCGTGCCTTTGCTCCTGCTTTCTCCCATGGTGATTCACCCCAATAGGTCACAGGATCATATATTTAGACTTAGAAGGGATGTCAGAGGTCATGCTGTCCAAACTCTTCATTTTATCGATGAGGAAATCGGTTAAGTGATATTTAAAGTCTTACAGGTAGTACAGAGAAAAGACAGGATTTGAAACTAAGTCTTCTAACTCCAAATTCCAGAGTGCTCACTTTCTCTCTAAATTACCCTGTATTCACTTAGTTGTACATATAAGCTCCTCAAGAACAGGAATGGGTTTATTTTTGTCTGGTATCCCCAGCACCTATCACGGCGCCTTATGCTTAATAAATGTTCATTAGAGTGAACTTAATGAAATAGCTAAAAACTAATCATATGTTGTCTGCAAAGAACAGAGAATGTAAAACAATGCAATAGTGACAGAATCTGTAGTAAAAAAGATGCAAATTCTTTGCAAAAAACTTTCTTCACCAAAAAACAAAGGTCTTCAAGAAATAGCCATAGAAATGCACAGAAGTATAAAACACTCTCTGTTTAAGAAGGCTCTCTTCAAACTTCAACTGTAGAACTCTTTGAAGACCCTAAAGTCAATTTCCTCAGTCACTACTGCAAGATGACAGACAGTCCTTTGCTATCTTTGGAGAACCTAAGTAGATTTCTGTTTACACATAAAGAAGAAAGTAAAATGAGAGTACTAAGAAATCAGAAGAATTCTGTCAGTCAATTCATGTTGCTCTTGGATCTATGATTGAAAGGCAGACACCTACAGGATGAGAAGCTGAACCAATACACTCAATAGGATTACAGAAAAACAGCACAGTGAGGTGCTGATGCTGGAAAGGTACTTTCTAATGTAAAGATCAGGTATGCACAACATCTGGCCCTCTTTAGCAGGCCTGTTTCACATTCTCTACATTTTTTGAGGGCTGCCTGATATCCTTTGCCCTTGGCAGGGCAAGCCACCCTATGTCATGCAGGCCTGCCCAAAGGAAACTTTGCACAGTCAGTTTTGCTGAGGGATGTGCATTTTTGCAGGACACCCGAAATGCTTTGGCAGGCTCCAAGTGGCATGGGCCCTAAGCAGCTCTCAATATTGTGCAAGCCTGCTAAAGATCATCAGGTATCTAGGGGTCTGCATATGATAAGCCTTCTGTAACCTAACTCACATTTGGAGCACCAATATTAAAATGAAGTTTATAAATGATCCTAAAATTGTAATTTTTAACACCTTTGCCCCTTTTCCTGCCACTCTAACACTATCGCTACACAGGTGAAAAGGAGTCACATAGGACTGACGAGCATTTTGCATTTTAATTTATTTTATGGATTGCCACAGCCAAAAAAAAATTCCTCACCAAACAGCCACTCCCTAAATGAGGCCTTTTGTTTCTCGTCTTTCCAAATTCCTCCATCTTCTGCAGCAAATTAAAAAGAAAACTGGCATGTAACTGGAAATGCCACAAGTTGTCAAAATAAGGCAAAAGTCTTCCTTCATCCAAGCCAAGTTCCATTCACACACGTCCATAAGGATAATAAAACAGAAACTACTGATGATGACTAATCATAAAATAAAACCAAGCTAAGTTTAATGTGGCAAAAAGTCATATTGAGTGAAGCGAGGGTTTTTTCCCCCTCACCTCTTTTTGTAAAAACAAGCACTCTCTATATATGACTAATACTGTGGAGTACACAAGGTACCAAAGTCCAGAAAAATAATCTTTCTGTTTCACTATAATACTGGTGGTTTGTCATTATTATTAATAACAATGATGGGTCACATTTCTGTCTTTAAAGCATACAAATTTCCTCATATGTAAAATGAGGGGGTTGAACTAAGACCTCTTCTGGCCCTAATATTTTGTGAGTCTATAATGTAGGTAGTACAAGTGTTATGCTCATTTTGAAAACAAGGAAACTGAAATCCAGAGCTGGAAATGGCAAGGTATAGTAGAGGACAAAGCACTGGACTATAAATCAGTAAGACTTGAGTTCAAATTCTGACTCAAACACACTAACTGCATGACTCTGAGAAAGTTATTCAACCTCTTATAGCCTCAGTTTGTTTTTTAATTTTTAAAATGAAACTAGCAGAACCTACTTCATAGAATTGCTGTGAGAATCAGACGAAATGATATATGAAAAGAACTTTGTAAACTATATAAATGTTTGTTGCTGTTGTCATTAAGGTGGTTAAGTGACTTGCCTAACGTCTCAATGTTAGCTTGGATTAGTGCTGAAATACAAATACAGTTTTCTTGACTAAGTCCAATGTTCTTTCCACCACCACAAGGTCTCTTATATTTTGAGTTGTTGACACTACTACAAGTGTCACAAGAAAACCAGCAAAATGCGGCTTGAACAAACTACATTTAAAATTTTTAATATGAAACATATATTCATTTTATTAGCAAAACCCCTCCAGCAAAATGTCCACTCATTAGTCACCGAACAAGAATCTCACATTTGGACCACTAGCAGTCAAAATGAAGTTCATAAATGATCCTAAAATTGTAATTCTTAACACCCTCTGCCCCTTTCCCTGCCACTCTGACACTATCACTACATAGGTGAAAAGGGGTCACACAGGACTGAAGGGCATTTTGCATTTTAATCTATTTCATGGATTGCTACAGCCAAAAAAATTCCTCACCAAACAGCCTCTCCCTATCTCAACTACGCCACACTGCAGCCTGATTACACTTGTGCTCGGCATGAACACTTGGATCTGTTCTGTTTCTGACCTAGGCTGATTAACCCCTCCTTAGGCATCCTGGTGGCCTCTCACTCCCAGGGACCTACTATGGTGATGGCAGACCTAGTTGGGAAACTAGATCTGCTTTAGCTGGCTACAGTGCAGAAGTCCCTGACCTCCCAGAGAGCAGACACAATTAGGCATGCATCCAGTCCCAAAACAGTTTTATAAATAAGAGCCATGGAGAATTAAGAACCACCCAGATTGAGCCTAAGTTCTGGGAGCTCCTAAACAGTTGGATTCCTTCTTCTACCTCCATTCTTGGCTTGAAGAGTCATTTCCATCCTCAGTACCCCTTTCACAGATAAGCTACAAGTCTGAAGAAGAAGTCAAAACCATTTTAAGTTTATATACAATAGAACTTGGAATGGCTCGGGCACATGAAAGTTTCTCTTCTGGATAATTCTTCGGGATACAACACTAAAATCGTGAATCCTAGGGTAAGGGAAATTTTCCTAATTACCATAAAGCAGGCCCTGGAATGCGTAACAGAAGAAGGCTGAATAATTTCTTTCACTGGAAGTCACTTATCTCACACCTATCCCACTGAAAGAGCCCAACAGATCTTACCTTTCAGCTGCTCTCAGTTTCTCCGCACCCCTCGTGTACACTGCAATTGACCAGTCCACACAGCGAGCAAAGCCTTCCTTAAGCAAAAGCTCTGTGATATTGCCATTCTGAAAAAGGGGGCAGATGGAGATTGAACGATACATTAGATTCTCACCACAGAGCAAATAAATCTAATCTTTAGCCCTTTTCTTCCCATTAACACAGTCAAGAAAACGTTCCATCTCTTGAGCTACAGGACCCTGACAACAGGACAATATTGAGAATCACTTCTTTCAAGCAGAGTCCACTCCAGAGTTCCACTGAAGAACAAGAAGAACTCATTACAGTAACTCTTCTTCTAGGAAGCATGCTGCTCTCTTTGGTAGCTTGTATGTTTCACTCCTCCCTTCCTTTAATAGCATCATTCTTTTCCCATTCCAAAAGGAAAATGGGCAAATGGAGAAGGCATGGAATGACTTAGGCTACATTGGCTCAGCTCTAGCTCTTATAATGGAATCCTCATTCTAACAAATTCCAGTCTGTCCAGTCTACAACAGTACTACTCTAGGAAGGCAAGTCTGGATCCATATTCTTCCTGGAAACCCAAAATCTTCCTGCTTGAGGTCAAAGAAGGAACAGCCTATACGGTGACTAGGATACACTTCAAACTCAGCCCTGTCAGCACAACCACTATCATGGTAGCTTAACCTGAACTAGGTAAAAGCCAGTAATAGTGACTGCCACTATTTAAGAATGATAAATTTCCCAAAACAGCAAGGTTACTTGTCATCCAACTGGCATCCAGCAATCAAGATGAGCATTTGAGTAGTCTCATCACAGTCACAAATCTTGGGCAGGTATAATGGAGCTCTTGCCTATTCAGGAACAGGATTACAAGGCATACTTAAAAGCACCAGGAGGGTTTTAGGTAGCTCCACTGATGTTTTAGGCATCTATCCTAGTATTTGTACTGGCATTATACTCTTAGTCTATACAAGAATTTCCTAATCTTTCCCAGCTTGAACATGTATCTTCTGAGAAGAAGCCTGAAGCAGCTTATTTTTTTCCTACTAACCCAAGGAAGGTTACATTCTAAATCTCTAAGGCAATGACAAATGAGCACAAATCGGTGTCTTATCCCGCCCAGCTAACTGATACTTCTGTAAGTACCGAAGAAATCAAAGAGGTATCTTCTTTCACAACATGACTAATGTGGAAATATGTTTAATATGATTGTACATGTATACCCTATATCAGATTGCATGCCATCTTGGGGAGGGGGGAGTAGAGGGGAAAAATTTAGAACTCAAAATCTTATAAAATTGAATGTTGAAAACAAGAAAGGAAGGAGAGAGAGGGAGAGAGGGAGAGAAGGAAAGAAGGAAGGAAGGAAGGAAGGAAGGAAGGAAGGAAGGAAGGAAGGAA